CCCAAGTAGCTGGGACTACAGGTATTTAGCCAATTGTTAACCAATTCTATCTTGTTGGAAGGGGTTTCAAAGTACTTCTTATTTTTCACTATCAAAAATTAGCATCTGAATATCTGTTCGTATCTCTGATTGTTCCCTCAGCATCTAGTGCTAGAAGTAAAATTTCTAGGAGAATGGAAATGTTTAAATGAGTAATATGTCATAAATAATGAATAAATAAAAAATAATGGTTATGCTTATTATTCATTTATCTTGCTTATTGTAGAGAAAGACATCATTCTGTATCATTTGCAATTGCTTATTTTACATTGAATCAAAGGCACCATGTCAACTATCTTCCAGTAAATTAAAATGAGCTCCCACTAAGTTGTTTTTGAAGTCAGGTATAAGGTTTCATGTTTTATGTAAATTTCAAAGTTTTAAGTTGGATCTCCACAGCACCCCTCTCTTTGAATTGGAATAATTCAATTGGAATTCAATTGGAATAATTCAGGTATAAATGAACATGATTGTAACATTATCATTGGGCAATAAAAAATTTTAAAAAAGCCTAAGGATATTTATCCATAGTACATATACCAGATGAACAAAATTATATTTTCCTTATAGTTTTAAATGGATAAAATACACTGAATTTTTACATTAAATCGCCAGGAGACCTTCTCTAAAACCTTCCTTCCTGGCCTGCTTACAAGTTTTGCATTTTGTACTTTTTTCTGATATCTCTGGGATTCTTTGGGGAAATGTCAGGAACCTTTAGGAGCTGTTGAGCTCTCTTTCACATCCAGTAGGTAGTAGTATAGAAAATGCTGATTCAGGAAACAGAGCTTGTGTTTGACTGGGCTTGTGTTTGACAAGTTTGAGAACTTATTGGACTAACCAGTGACTTGAATGTAACTTAGGGGAAATGATTTATGGCATTTCTAAAGTATAAAATGAAGAGTTTCTGGTTCACCATCAGTGTTTCATTTCAAATAATGAATTATATTGTCTACCGGTAGGAAAAGAAGAAATAAAAATTCATCATTTAATCCAACTTGGCAAATTCTTCCTTTTTCCTTTCATTCTAAGGACTTTGAAAAATCAGTCCTGCCCCCACTAAGCAGAAACATAAAGCTAGAGTTTTTTTCTCCTTATGCATGAAGATAGAAGAAACAGAATAATTATCAGCAAAACAGTATTCAGAACTTGAAAAAATAACTTATTCTTTTTTTGTTTGAGTCCAAGAGTTCAAGGTCACAGTGAGCTATGAGAAACAGAGCAAAACCCTATCTCTTAAAAAACGGATTTTTAGGCTGGGTATAGTGACTCATGCCTGTAATTCTAGCACTCTGGAAGGTCAAGGAGGGAGGATCACTTGAAGCCAGCAGTTGGAGAACAACCTGGACAACATAATGAGATCCCATCCCTACAAAAAAATTTTAAAATTAGCTGGGCATTGTGGTACATGCTTGTAGTCCCAGGCACTCAAGAGACTAAGGCAAGAACCCAGGAGTTTGCTGTGAGCTATGATGACACCATAGTACTCTATGCAGGGCAACAAAGTGAAATTCTGTCACACAAAAAAGGTTATTCATTTAGATTTCTTTTAACTTGTCTGTATAATTAGTAGGTTAGTTTAATTCCATATGAAACCTTTGCCATCTGCAGAACTGCCATACAATGATGACATAAAGTCACATAGGAACAGGTTTAGTTGCATAATTAAGACAACAGAAAAGGCTTAAACATCATAGTAATATCTAGGTTTGAGGGACTGTTTTTCCTAATTAAAATCAAGTAAAAGCCTGCCATTTATTTTAGTATAATTTTGAAAGTGTTTCCATGTGTGTGCCTGCCACGGAACAAAATAACTCTGATACATCCATTCAAAAGAATAAAATAAAACAAAAAGAATCACAGGGTTGGCACCCATAGCTCAGTGAGTAGGGCACCAGCCACATACACCGAAGGTGGCAGGTTTGATCCTGGCTCCAGCCAGCTATACAACGATGACAACTATGA